TTCAGGCTGTTATTGTTTAGCCTTTTCAGTTTTTAAAAAGTTTCCTTTGAGATTGTAGCTCACGCAAAAAAAAAAACATTATCTGAAGCCTTGGGGGAAGTAATACAAAAATATGTCAGTCCATAGAAAATAGCCAAGAAAAGATTCAGTATCACAGAAAAAAAATGTAATTACATCCCAAAAAAAAGCTGCATAATACAGGACCCGAAAAAGGATATCATTTTGTGGTTATCCATGATCTTGGTGTATTCATGTCTCAGACAAACACTTTTGTTCCTCTTACAACATGGCAGAGCAAATAGAGACAGATCCTGCTGGTGAATAACACTGTTACAAGGCCGGTCTCTGGGGTGGATAAGAGGAACAGCAAACACCCTGCTGTCTGGAGGAAAGAATAGGTGGCTGTCATCTATCTGCGTGGCAAAGGGGAGATGTGTGGGGGGGACATGGAGGAGGAAGAGGAGGGAGGGAGGGTGAGGGTAAATATGATTTACCCCCAATGATCTCCACAGGGGCTCATGCAAAGGTAAACCCCCACCCACCCAATCCAAATACCCATGGGAAATGATGAGGGGTGAATGGGGATAGGAATAAGTGTGTGCATAGGGTTATAATCCTTGTGCTATCTTGATAAAAAAGAAAGAAGAAGGGGGAAGTGGGTTGAAAGAAGAGTGAGATCGATAGAACAAAGCACCCTCACTTTATACTATCCATCTCAGAGGTGGGAGCAATAAGGGGGATATCTCTTAACCTATCAGACCCTTCTTTAAAACAGTGTCCTGGGTTTATTAGAAACACTGCTGAAGAAATGATAGTGTTTCACTGGAAGCGGTTGGATCCTTTGTACAGTTGGGTTTTCTAAGGTTGGCCTAAACAAACCTTTTCAGGCTACAAACAGCTTGGTTTTGACAGATGAGTGTGTTTGAGCGTCAGCCATATGGAAATGTCACAGAGTAATCATAAACAATTATCCACCCCGGCTCCCAGTGCATCAGAAAAGGGCAAATTTACATAAAGGCACAATGGCTCCGGCATTTACATTAGAGGAAAAGGCGCCCTGAAAGCTCAGCACACACTTACAAAATATCAGAAACTAAGTGATGGTGTTTTTCTAATACCTGACTTTCTCATCCCTCTCTCGCGTAACACATTATTGTGAAGAACGTAGGCGCTGAAAGATCACGTCCTTCACTTGAGTATCCGGGATGCAAATGATGCACATCAAAGCTCCCAGGTTGTTTGGAAACAGGACAATGAGATCATGTTAATGTTCCTTTCCCCCCCCCCCTTTGAAAGCAGACTGGGGGACATAAATCTATAGATCAATTCAAACCAGGCTTTCCGCCCCGCTGTAAATCAAGGAGCTGGACGCAGAGGATGTTGGAATGGTTAATGGATGCTATGGCAGACGAACAGCCGACACAGAATGAATCCACAGAGGATTGGATGAGGAATGAGATGATGAAAGAGAGAGGAGGGCTGGCTGCGACGTCAGGGAGGAGGTGTTGGGTGGAGTTCAGAGGGGTAATGGGACAGCTGCTTGTTTGGTGGCAATGATCACCAATTGACAGACAAATAATGTGATTCTCTTGCCATGGAAATAAAGAACTAATCCTCCTACACAAAGCCTTTGTAACAGATGACATGGATGTCAACAGAGTGCTAAATTTGTATGTTTACAGAATATCAGCTAAGATTAAAGGTGAGTAGTATATTCTCAATACAATGTATTTTAAAGCATGGTCCAGCTGTGGTTTTCAACATGAACTCTTTTTGTTGTCTCTTTGATCAGTTAGAATTTCCCTGAGCAGTTCAGTCATTTTCCCTGCTTGATATATTCTATTCAATGTTTAAGAGCCTGTTGCTTGTATCAGCATTAAGTGCAATTGCCTCACATCACTAGGTGGCAGTAAAGTCAAGAATAAAACCTGTCTAAAAATAAACAAATTGATGTATCCTCATCCAAACACAAAAAACATTTGGAGTTGTTAATGTTCTTCCAAACAGCTGCAGCTTATAATGATGCACCCATGCTTCATAAAATAAGCATTAACTGCAGTTTGGAAAAACAAACATAATTCCTAAATATACAGAGCAGCAATCCCCTTTCAATCACTGCTGTTATTAACTGCAAACAATGCTGTGAAAATCCCCAAACAACTTTACCCGGGAAAAGAAATTAATGTACCTGAATGAACAGAAGGCAAAGAGTCCCTGCCAGAGGGAGAGAAAGTAATTCCAAGACGCTAGATACCAGACTTTACTGCTTCCTGACACCATTTCAGTGTGATAATGCACCAGATGGTGGGATGCTTTCTCACTATTACCCTGACAATATGACTGTAATTGAAGAGGAAAGCGCCACAAGTGAGGGCCAAAAAGATGAAGGCCAACTGTCGCGTTCCATAAGGCTTTCTATAGCTGCTCCACTGAGGCAGGTGTAGAGATCCATACATCCACAGACCTCAGCTTCTGCCCACTGTACAGAGTAGAGTTACTGTTCAGTGTATATTTGAGGATGCAGGTATAGATGTGTTGTTCACATGGTTATGTATGCATTTGTAGCAGGTCAAATCTTCCCATGCAACCATTTAAGAAATCAAAAATGAAGAGTCTCCAAATAAGACAAAAAGCAAAAAAAATAAAAACAAAGCAAAGAACATTACACTAGACAAATCCTGCAGCAAATGTTGCTGCATGCTTTTCTCTTTTCTTTTATTCCTCCTTACAATTTTGTTCCATATAATTTCAGGCCCTGGTACCAATATGCATCAATAAGTATTTTCATTTTAAGAACATTGAGTCTACACTCTTGTTGATGGTCTGTGCTGGATAAATCATCACCCGTGATTAACATAAAGATACAGAACAAAAATGCATAAAGAGAGCATTTCCTGTTGCTGTAGGTGGTTTCATTTTTGTTATGTAATGAATCATTTAGGGTTTATATAATGTAGCATGGAGCAGTCACATACTGAATAGCATGGTTTGCATGATTCAAATGTCATTCAGAGCATAACCCATTTTGAGAGGGGGGACTGTAATTTAAAGTGACGAGTCAGAAAGCGGAAATGAAAGCAGATATTTATTCATTCATTATATTTCCAGAAGCTTCAATTTCATACTTGCACTAAAAGGAGAAACTTAAATAGAGACAAAGAAAGAATTTGTTAGTACAAATCTGTTTCTTAAATACAAAAAACCATCTGCAATACTGTCAGGAAAGAGCATCATTTTGGCGGTATAATGGGACCACGTAAAACCAATACAAATCAGAATAATATCATCCTTTATATCAAAAAGTGTTGATGTACATAACCTAAGTTATGTAACTCGCCAACAAGCAATTCAAAATACAATGACAACTCAATTTTATACAGAATGCATTTTCCTTTCCAGTTAGTTACAGTACAATTTACACTGTGCACAGCAAGAAAAAAAAGATTATATATATTTATTCTCTACAATTTCTCTATATTTAATACAGCCCTATCAACAGGTTAAACCATATCATGCACAATATTGCCTCTTAGGCTTCCGTATGAGCTGCTTGTCCCTGTACAATCAATTCATGTATGTACAAATTCAACAGATATTCTACACATCTTTAAAAAAAAAAAAAAACTTGATGCAAGTTAAGAAAAAAGAAAACTTGATCCCATCCAAAGGCCCTCAAGTGTGGTTAGTATCAGTGAACAATGTTTGCTTAATAAGGGACTGGATAATGTACAGCATTTTCACACACGCACGCACACACACACACACACACACGCACGCACACACACACACACACACACGCGCGCACACGCACGCACGCACGCACGCACGCACACACACAAAACACTCACACACCTTCGCACTCATTAATGCCAATACAATCACACACTGCAGAAATACAATCAGATACTGTACATAATGACTGCACCAGACATAGTTTAAACAATGTTTTAGGCTGATCCTTTGGGGGTGCGTTTAGTTTCTTCCGGAAATCATAAAAGCCAGTCCTGTGTCTCAAGGAATTGGGAGGCGTCTTTAAAATAAGATGACAAAGAGTATATGAATGATTCCTCCCTCTACAGAGTCCTCTTCTCTGGCTTCTTTTATCCATTCTTGGATAATACATCTGCAGTCTGACTATTGTCTCTCTTCCAGTCACTGAACTCTGATGAGAAGAGACTTTAGGATTGATTCAAAAAGGCACTACCTTCCCAAGACGCACTGAAGGGGACTGAGCTGTCACATCCTCAGCCTCCCCACCCCCAACCCTCCCCACCGGCCTTCAGGGTCAAGCTCAATAAGAGGAGGTTACATGCAGGTGCAAAGGTGATGGAGGTTGTACAACAAGCCATGCAGCATTTCCCTCCATCATGTGTGCAGCTGGATCATTCAACAGAGTGTATCAGATGAGGATGTATCAATGCAGCATTCTCAAGCATGGTGTGTGCTCTGCTCCACATATTCAGTTTGCAGATAGATCACTTTATATTTATATATACACACTATACATGATCTGCCTTGTGCGCTGTAAATGCAATGCATAATGGAATACATTAAGGAATTACATGATTAAATACGGATTCAGGTACAAGCCTCTGTGTTGGAAAGAAATACATGGAGCAATAGGTATTTACTGAAGACAGTGATTACTATTTGAACATAGTAGATATATGATCATAACAAATAAAGTTCAGACAAGCACTGCATAGTCCATATGAAACTGTGGTAAGAATGCCACAATTGTTAATATTAAAAATGTTAATTAATATATGGATTTACGTCATATCAGGTATTTCATGCACATATATCAGGTTGAGCTACGTCCTACTTCCTTCCTGAATGCTGCTTGTTATATATACTGTAAAGAAAATAAAGCATACAAGTCTTGATGAGCTGTGGGTATTTTGTGTGTTGTGTTGCACTGGGGAGCTGTGATCATGAAGCCAAGCAGTGCTGGGATGTAAGGATCGAGCAGTCATGATACATGTCTTGTGAGCCCGATTGGCTACACAAAAGAGTTCAAGGAGTTCATGGCATTAATAGGGGACGGTGCCTCTGAGCTCTCGTGGCCCTCAGCAGTTTCCCTGCTGACACTTTTGCCACTATACTGTCCGATAAAAGAGCCGTCCTCGTTGAACTGTCCGTCTCCTCCTTCCCCGTAGTCAACTAAACTGTCGTCACTGTCGTCTCTCTTAACTGTCCCATTAGAAGGCGTGCGGCTCCCTTTTAACGGTTTATGGTCCTCATTGTCACTGAAGGAGAAAATAACATGCAGGTGTTACAGGTGAGATGGTGTGATAGATGCAACAAGGAGATTAGTGATCACTTTTTTTTTTTAGATGGAGCACTCAAATATATCCACAGAATTCTCTAAGTCATTTCCAGATTGAAAATAAGTAATTTCCCTCTTTTTGAGTGTTTAGTTTTTAAAGATGCAAATTCAGCAGTTTTCATTAATAAGCAACAGTGAATGTTTCCTGCCCACTGAACAAGAGGCAAATTTGAATTTGGCTTGCTCCATGTCTAAAAAATGGCTGCTATGAATGATTAGTTGGTTTCTGTCAGGCAACAGGGGAATAAAGCTCAAGCAACCATACCCTGTTCAAATTCCCCCTGAAACCAAATATGAAGTGGTAAATGTTGTTTGACAAAAGCAATCCCCCCCCCCCCCCCATAAAACAGAGGTGTTGATGAACAACAGAAAAAATCCAAGGCAATGATGTGAATAAAACTTGGAAAGCAAGGTTTCAGCCAAACATCCCCCAAAGCAAGCATGATAATAATCACAGATCGGCAAAATGCATGAACAATCTGCAAAGAAACTTTTCTTTGGATGTCAGATAGTCAAATAACATTCCACATACATGATTTGAACATCAATGAGAAAAGATCACAAAGCCATCATGATGCTGAATTTTAGATCTAAATAGGAGATATTAATCAGCGTGCAAAATTAGCATTTCCAGGGATTAAATTAGTTAAGTGAAAACACAAGATTACTGGCTGAAAAGATGTCCTTACAGTATGTGCAGTGCATGATGAAGGCTTTATGACCAGATGTTAAACTTGATGACAAAAAACAGGAAGATTACACAGTGAGCATTTTTCTCCACAGTGACTCGACTAACCGCTGACCCTCGTCACATGCTGGATTCACAGAACATCCCCCTTACCTTGCTGAGAGCTACACTCTGCGATCAGATGAGGAGATCCAGCTGAGATCCCACACAACACAACAGTCACACTAACAGGCACATACACCATGTACTGTACACGTCGAGGCTGGACTTAAAGTTCGTTCTTCAGAAGTCACACAACAACAGTGGGTCCAGATATCTGACGCCTTTATTGACATAATGTTAGATTCCAGCTGAGCTTAATGAAACAGCATGGATAGAAAGTATACTCTCACAAAGGCACTATAATATTTATACACTTTGCCTTGTGATTTGTTGTCGACTGTGTTCGTTGAGTCTATTTCTGTTTCAGAGATTCCCCTGCAGTGAATATAGATCTCTCTTTGACCTCAACAAACAACAGGAGCTTTAAATGATAATTCTGATGATATTCCACATTTCTCTTGTCGTCAACAAATCCATCTAATAGACTCGAACTTATGATGAACTAGTAGAAAAAAACGCTCCTTTTCTAAACCTTAAAAAATGATTGTGCTGAATGCTGTGATAACAAAAATAATTCCTCTAAAAACACATCAAAAAAGGCCACAGTGATATACTGGCCAACACTATGTTTCATCACATCAGATAGAGAAATGTAAACTATTTTAAAGTTCCTGTGAGGAGTTATGAACTGGTTATAAAACAGACTAATAATACTGATGAAGAACAAACTAGATCATCAGCAAGAATACTGATTAGTTCTACATAGTTTATATTTATATTACTGCTTAAAACTGCTGCTGCAGGGTACAGTAGGTGTCTGAAAGTGTTTAGATTTGTCTGTCGAAGCATCCCTTTTATTTTCATTGTATACGGCAACGATTCTCCACGACTAACACGTTTGACTGTTAAAGGTCAGGATGGACATTTTTGGTAAAAAAAATACTACTTAAAGCGGGTACAGGACAATATCCTCAAAGAGAAAAGCCCACTTTGTCCACAGGGGGCGCCAAAATCAACACAAACTGAAATCTGCTCAGTGGAGCTTTAAATCAATAATATCCTAGTAACTTTGATTAAAAGGAACTTATCTAACATTACTTGTAAAAACAAAAAAAGTTTTTTGCCATCTTTGAAAGATTTCAGTCTTTGGCTTGAAGCAGAATGCCACAATCAAATTGTAGAAGAAGTTTCGGGTCTATTTGATGAATTTGTTTGTTGACTTCAACCAAATAGTACAATGTCACCAGCCTTATCCTCTAAGAAGCATTTCTTTATAAAGAATGGCTACTGGCCTGTGATAAAACAGCATTAACCAGCGTTTGTACAATGATCATTGCTTCTGTCAAACATGCTGATAATTCATATAATATCCATATGCATCTATATATTGTATATCTCTATATATGAACAATATTCCATTCGACACATTATTGCCTTGAGAGCAAATTTTCAAATATCAGGTCTTCACACCATGCATATCATATTATGTATAGCTATATATCAATATGTGTTTGTCTTAGAATAAAATCCATAAAGAAGATTTATGTATACGTATTACAAAAAGGAATATAAAATATAAAAGCAAGAACATCTTAGAAATTGACTTATAAAAATCAATTAAAAAATGCTAGCTATACAGAAGTAAAGTGCTTTTTTTTTTTTTTTTTTTAAATCTGCGAGCGACTGGAGAAGCAGTCTAGAAAGAGGATGCTAACAAGCATAGCTGGATAAATGCTGTAAATAAACGATGATGTAATTTCAGTTGTTTTCAGGCCTACGAGGGTTGTGGGTCAGTAGCAATACACGAGGCAAAGTGTTAATACTATGTTTACTGTACACAGGATGTATATGAGTAGCTTATTAGTTTGAAAGGGATTTGATACTTGAGGAAGGTTTAAGATGTGTTGTAAATTAAACTAGCTTATATATTATTTTCCTGACAGTCTTATTTAAACCCCCAGATCCCCTGAACCTGAAGAATCCAGCTTCTTTAATGACACTGAGATATCATATCAAGTACACACACAGTGAGAGTCCAACACAGGTAGCATCCAGAATGTCCCAGAACCCAGAGAAAGAAAAAAAATCTTGTGCTTCAGGGTGGAAGAAGTCCAGATGAGGGGCACTTCTCCTTCTTATTATGTTGTTTTTCTGTTATTGGTGATCCTGCGTCTGTTATTGGTCAGCTGTAAAGGTTGAGAGGAGGGAGGGAGTGCCCAGCCAGAGAGAGCAGATCTGAGCAGAAAGCATGGACGGGGGCAGGGGTTGATGGGTAAAAATCGGCTCTGGGGGGGGGGGGGTTCCAGAGGCCGGAGCACTTTCTCTCACCTGTATTCCCCAAAAGTACAGTCATCATCTTTCATGGGCTGGAACTCTGGGTCTGTGTGCGCGTCCTCCTTTTCTTTGACTGAAGAGAGAAGAGAAAGAGATTTAGACGATAACTAAGGTCCAATGTGTAAAATGTATACACAATGGAATATAAGTTGTTTCATGTTCTTTTTTTTAACTGCACACCAGAATATCAAGTTTAAAGGTGCAATATGGAGATCTGCTGGTGGAAAATGAAAGTTTTGAAAGTGAAACAATGCTCTGCTATATTTTCTGAACTAATTTCACAAACTTTATTCAAAGGAAAAAATGGGTCCCTGGAACACTGTTTAGAGCTGAAAAGCTACCAGGAGAGTTACGGTTTCACTGTTGCTGGCCCCCCACCAGAACTTCTCGTGTAGCATTTTATTTTCAAACAGTGTTACAGGGACTAAATTTTCCTCTGAGTTTGTGTATCGGGTAATAAACATAGACCACAGAATCTGCACATTTCTCCAACTATGAAATTTCTCTGCCAAAACTCCATAGTGCACCTTCAAACATGATATTTTTGTAATAACAACATTTGACTTAATTCAGGCCTTCCAAATTAATGATTTTAAAACGTCAAGATTTCTCATTAAATAGTCTCTGCGATCGGCCGATTAAAAAAAAAAAAGAAACTTTCACATGCTGTAATGAGAAAAGTTTCTTATTGAACTCAAGTTAGTCAGTAAAAAACATTTTTCTTCCAATCTCTGCTTTCAGAGCCAACCTGCCAATACTCATGGCTCCTGTGTGAAATCTGAACTTAATTAATGTTGGCACATACAGCATGTGGGTTTACATTTAGGTGCAAATGATTAGGAGAGTATGCACAGAATGCCCTGGTGGTGTTTGTGCTAATACTACTCACCGGGGTATTTGCCTCCTTTATTCCTCTGGATGAAACAGATAATGAGGAGGATCAGGATGAGCAGAGCGATGGCACACATGAGGCCAATGAACCATCCCTGAGTGGCAATGTCCACCTGTCTGCTGGCCACAGCTGGCGAGAGGAAAGAACAGGAAGGAACATTTACATC